CAAAAAAATAAAAAAAAAAAAAGAAACTTACAATCATGGTGGAAGGGAAAGCAAATACATCCTTCTTCACACGGTGGCAGGAAGAAGTGCTCGGCAAAGAGGGCAAAGCCTCTTATAAAACCAGCAGATCTTGTGAGAACTCACTCACTATCATGAGAACAGCATGGAGGTAACCACCCCCATGATTTAGTTACTTCCTATTAGGACCTTCCTGTGTCATGGGAGGGTCCTGGTAGGAGGTAACTGAATCATGGGGGTGGTTGCAACAATTCAAGATGAGATTTGGTTGGGAACATAGCCAAACCATATCAACATTATAGGGTTAAATGTCAAGCAAATGGTAAGCAGTAAATTCTGTTGCAGTTGGGTGAAGGCATAAAAACCTCAGTGGGGCAAAGGAAGCATGGAATGGGAGGTGGTGAAAAGGAAGTTTGCTACATGTGTAAACCAAGATTCTAGTAGCCACCCTACTTTGTCCTTGCTATTTTATTTATCTCTACTTATTAACCAGTTTTACGTAGATGGGTGGTAGCCAGCCCCATTGGATGCTGTAGTCATTCAACATTTTTAAAGTCAAAGTGAATAGTTATAAGACTTTTGTTGTTGTTGTTGTTGTTGTTGTTGTTTTGAGACAGCGTCTCACTCTGTCACCCAGTCTGGAGTACAGTGGCACTATCACGGCTCACCACAGCCTCAACCTCCCCAGGCTCAGCGGATCCTTCCACCTGAGCCTCCTGAGAAGTGGGACTACAGGTGTGCACTAACACGCCTTGCTAATTTTTTGTAGAGAAGTGGTTTCGCCATGTTGCCCAGGCTGATCTTGAACTCCTGGGCTCAAGCCATCCACCCGCCTTGGCCTCCAAAGTTCTAGGAGCCACTGTGCCCAGCCAATTACAAGTCTAATTCATTTTTTTCACTGTTTGATCTGCTTCTCCCTCACAGTGTACCTGTGTGACATAGGTTAGGAAAGAGCCTCTTTTCCAAGTGGTTTAGCTCCCATGCCACAGGGTAAGAATTAACATCTTTAGCAGTTGTTTATAATTCCTGACCTATTGCTCCCTGTCCCAATTGTTCGACAGTTTAAGTACTGCATAACCAAGAAATCAAATCTGCAAAGAAATCCCATGACACGGTCCCTAAGGCAAATGCTATTTCCTGACTGTCCTGGGAGAGCGGGAGAGAGTCTCAGCTTTGAAACTTGGTTAACCTAATTTTGGTGTCAGCTCTGCACTCAGTAGTAGATGTGTAACTTTAGGCAAGTTTACTTAAACCTTTTAAGCTGCTTTTCCTTATCCATAAAAACAAAGACAAAAACATCTTCCTTAAAAGGTGTTTGTAGCTAGGTGCAGTGGTATGCACCTGTAATGTGCCATGATCATACCACTGCACTCCAGCCTTGGCAACACAGTGAGACCCTGTCTCAAAAAAAGCAGGGGTGGGAGTGGTTGTGACTTTTAAGAGGACTTGGTAGAGAATCTTGGCAAATTCTCTAGCTAGCTGCTCTCACACCCATGCCACAGCTGCCACCCAGAGTCAACACTAGGGGACTTAAAGAAGTTGTCTGACAGATGTTTAATTCTCCTTTCAAGACTATTTCTCTATGTGACTTTTGTCACATTTTCATGTTTATTCAATAAATAGGTGAAAAAATGTTCCAAAACTTTAGAGACAGATGGACTTGCTATGAAGAATACAAAAGTATCTCCAAATGTTTCCATGAATTGTCTCCAGTGTTCCTGTATTTCTCCAACTCCTACCCTCTTATCTTCCTCTCCTCCCACAACAAATATTTATTGAATGCCTGTGAAACGCTTGACACTATTTCAGGTAGTGGAGATGGAACCGAACATGTAGCATGAACCACGCAGACCAGTTCCCTGCCCTTAAGAAATTTATATCCCACTTATGAGAAAAACAATAAAACAAAAAATGGATACATTTCAGATGGTGACAAATGTTATGAAGAAATAAATCAGAGTAGGGCGAACCTCTCTTGATGGCATGATTAGGGAAGGCCTCAAAGATGAAGTGACATTTTGAGCAGTATCTTGAATGGTATGAAGGTGGGAGCCATGTGTAGATTTGCCAGGGAAAGCATTTTAGCAGAGAGAAGCTCAGATGTGAGAATGAGCTTAGCAGGTCCACAGAGCAAAGGGGAAGGTGTTAAGAGAGGCAGAAGGGTGAGTGAGGGTCAGTGTGAGGGAAAGCAGTTGCAGGTTTTAATCAGGGCAACTGTGAGCTGATTGCTGTTTTAAGAGCTGACACTGGCAGCCTCAGAGAAAATTCAAGGTAAATGAAGCTTACTTTGCTGAGTGCCATGGCTCACACCTGTAATCCTAGCATTATGGGAAGATGAGGTGGCAGAATTGCTTAAGGCCACAGGTTTGAGACCAGCTTGGGGGAGATATCTCTACAAAAAATTTTAAAAGTAGCTGGATGTAGTGGGGTACGCCTTGTCATCCTAGCTACTTGGGGAAGCTAAGGTAGAGGATCACTTGATCCCAGGAGTTTGAGGCTGCAATAAGCAATGATCATGTCAGTACACTCCAGCCTGGGTAACAGAACAAGACTTTTATCTCTAAAAAAAGTTCTGTAAAAAAGGTTTGACCAGTATTTAACCTAAGATAGCCTGTTTAACTCCAATTCCATGTCCTTCACCTAGAAAGGCTCATTTTTAAACACCAAGGATCATTAGGTTCATTTCTTTGAATTTGTTTTTTTTTTAGACATGGGGTTTCACCATGTTGGCCAGGCTGGTCTTGAACTCCTGACCCAAGTGATCTGCCCACCTCGGCCTCCCAAAGTGCCAGGATTACAGGCGTGAGCCACTGCACTGGGCCTGTATTTGTTTTTATCTTTCAAATGCTTTAACCAAGCCAGTACCTATAAGTCTTCGATTTTGAGAAACCAGGATTGGCATTGTATTATCATTTTGTTTATCAAACTTGGGGGAAAACCAGAAAATCAATATCCTGATTCATGTTTTAGATTTTGTTTCAAATAAACTCTGCTTTTTAGAGCAGTTTTAGGCTCACAGCAAAATTGAAAGTATAGAGTTCCCTTATACTGCCTGCTGCACCTATGCACAGCCTCCTTGTCAGCATCTCCTGCCAGAGCAGTACATTTGTGAGAGCTGATGAACCTTTGTGTACCAATACATCACATCCTTATCACCCGAATGTAAAATATGGACTTTCTGTAATAATGATGTTTTAGATTTTTAAAAATTAATTTATTTAAAATAGTTATATTGAAACTAAATAGAACTACTGAAAAATAGGAAGAAAGCAAGCAGGAAAAGACAGATCATCTATCTAAGGGTCTTTATGCTAAGACTTACAAAACCTGAAACTGCATAGCCTCCATTTTGGTAATCACTAGAGTTCCGTATTAAACCCCACTCTCACTGCGTTTTTGGGGCTACAGTGTTAGTGCAGATGCAAGTCCTTTTCAGGTTTCCCTTGACTACATAGGGAAATCATTTTATAACCTGTGACATGTCATAGTGTTAATTGTTGTGTGTCTCCTGACACTGCATGTGGTGATAGTTTGTAGATGCAGGACCATGAAGTTAGACCGTTCCCATCCAAACCAGCAAAGACAGAGTCGGTCTCTTCTTTCTTTTTTTCTGTTGGCCTTAGTGCTTTGCAGGCAGGAGAATTTAGAGGACATGCTTCCTTTTTCCTCCCTTCAGTAATGGCTCAGTCCTTTCTCTCTGGGAAGGAGTTGGTGGCAGCAGAGAGGTGCTGCTGCTCTGTCTTCTTTGGGTCTGCCTGGTGATTTCTGGGGAAGGCCTTAAGCCCCTTCTTTTTAGGGGTTCCTTGCTCTGGGCCCTGGCAGCCAATAGCCTCAGGCTTCCCTCCAGGGGTACCAAAACCATATGCCTCAGTCTTCAAGAAACTCTCCTTTGCAGGCATTTATTCGACGATGCTTGGCCTACCGAAAGGAGGACCGCATTGATGTCCAGCAGCTGGCCTGTGACCCCTACTTGCTGCCTCATATCCGAAAGTCGGTCTCTACGAGTAGCCCTGCTGGAGCTGCTATTGCATCAACCTCTGGGGCATCCAATAACAGTTCTTCGAATTGAGACCAACTCCAAGGCCACAAACTGTTCAACACACCAAGTGGACAAATGGCATTCAGCAGCGGGTTTGGAACATAGCGAATCCGAATGGATCTGATGAAACCTGTACCAGGTGCTTTTATTTTCTTGCTTTTTTCCCATCCATAGAGCATGACAGCATCGATTCTCATTGAGGAGAAACCCTGGGCAGCTCCGGCCAGGCCTCATAGGAAAAGGCCCCGCCCAGGGTTCCGGCGTCAACGGCCACTGTGTGTGGCTGCTCTGAGTGAGGAAAAATTAAAAAGAAAAACTGGTTCCATGTACTGTGAACTTGAAAACATGCAGACTCAGGGGGGTCCCTGATGCAATGCTTCAGATGAAGAATGTGGACTTGAAAATACAGACTGGGCTAGTCCAGTGTCTATATTTAAACTTGTTCTTTTCTTTTAATAAAGTTTAGGTAACATCTCCTGAAAAGCTTGTAGCACAAAGGCTCAGCTGGGGATGGTGTTTGACTTCGGAGGAAAAAAGTTGCTATTGCCCGTTAAAGGCACTAGAGTTAGTGTTTTATCCCTAAATAATTTCAATTTTTAAAAACACGCAGCTTCCCTCTCCCCTTTTTTATTTTTGAAAGAATACATTTGGGCATAAAGTGAAACCCGTATTAGCAAGTACGTGGCAACGTTCATTCCAATCAGATGCAGCTTTCTCCTCCGTCTGGTCTCCTGTTTGCAATTGCTTCCCTTGTCTCAGTAGGGAAAAAATTGAGTGGGAGTACTGAGATGTGTGGGTTTTTGCCATTCGACAAAGAATGAGGTTAGAAGACTGCAGCTTGGAGTCTCTTTAGGTTTTCAACTATTTCTTCACAATTTGAACACTTGACGGTTGTCCCTTTTAATTTATTTGAAGTGCTATTTTTTTAAATAAAGGTTCATCTGTCCATGCAGTCCTCTTGGATTCTCTGAATGTAGTAACTATGAAGCTATGCCAAAGGTAGGCAGAAAATGGGCTTGGGAGCCAGACACTCCAGGGATCAGTAGTTCCTACCCACAGTCCTTGTGTGCTTGCTAAATGGTGTACATTTCTTGTTAACCACGTTATTAAAACTTGATCAGCACATACGCTTTCTTCTGTTAGATCTTTTGGCAGCAAACAACCTTCCCCCTAAGCCTCTGATTTTTATGGGTGTGTGGTGGTGTGTGTGTGTCTGTGTGTGCATGTACACACACACTTTGTCTAGCTCACTTTAAAAGATTCATCAAGTGGAATTTGAAAAATAATCTCAAGAGAAATATTTCAATCCCAAGAGAAGTATTTCAGGGCAGGCGCGGTGGCTCACACCTGTAACCCCAGCACTTTGGGAGGCCGAAGCAGGTGGATCATGAGGTCAGGAGCTCAAGACCAGCCTGGCCAACATGGGGAAACCCCATCTCTACTAATGATACAAAAATTAGCCAGGTGTGGTGGCAGGCGCCTGTAGTCCCAGCTACCCAGGAGGCTGAGGCAGGAGAATTGCTGGAACCCAGGAGGCAAAGGTTGCAGTGAGCTGAGATGATTCCACTACGCTCCAGCCTGGGTGACACAGCAAGACTCTGTCTCAAAAAAAGAGAGAAAGAAATAGGTATTTCAAATATGAACATACTTTTGGCACCAATTTTCTTTTTTAATTTGGTTTGTTCTGAGATGTATGATCAATTGAAGATGGAGCTGAAATGGGAGACGGGTGGCCCCACCGTGCCCTTGAAACAGCAGAGCACTCCTCAGTAGAGAGAGAGGGAGGGAGCCAGAGCCTGAACATGTGGTCGCCAGCTTGGAATGTTACTGACATATGTGGCAAGAGGGCTCAGCCAGAAATGTTTAAAGATGTAGTATTCTGGCCCGCGAGTTCTCTGCACAGGGAGGGGGGCTCAGAAAGGGTAGAGAGCTCTCAAAGAACTCGGGACACTTGTGTTCCTTTCACATGTGAACAGTGTCACTGGTGACACATTTTCCAGGACTTTCATTTGTTTTGTGGACCTGCCTCAGTCTCCTCAGTATCAGGCAATCTTAAGGAAAGATGGGAGTGTTTCAAATTGGAGAGAAGCTCATGGGTAGGTATCGTGCTGTGGAATTCTGAATGCCAGGAGCCAGCCCCAGAGGCCTTGATGCCCCACCTTTCTAAAACTACTTTATTACAACTTATATGTATATACACTTGCACATATAAACACGTGTGCATTTATGTATGTGTGTATAGTACCTTTAAAAACAAAACAAAACTTCAAGCTGCTAAGCAAAGGGTCTCACAGGTTGAGCACAGTGCTGAAAGGATGGTGTCTGCATAGTGAAGACACGGATGAAGCCAAGACCATTCAAACTCACTGAAAACCATGAAGTTCTGTTCCTTTTTTCTTCCTCTCCAATGATCTTGCAGTTGATTTCTATTCATTTTTTAATTTTTCAACTTTTTGTTTGAGGTGAAGTTTTGCTCTTGTTGCCCAGGCTGGAGTGCAATGGCGCAATCTCGGTTCACCACAACCTCCACCTCCCGGGTTCAAGAGATTCTCCACCTCCCAAGTAGCTGGGATTACAGGCATGTGCCACCATGCCCGGCTAATTTTATATTTTTAGTAGAGACAGGGTTTCCACATGTTGGTCAGGCTAGTCTTGAACTCCCAACCTCAGGTGATCTGCCTGTCTCGGCCTCCCACAGTGCTGTGATTACAGCCGTGAGCCACCACACCCGGCCTTAACATGTTTTTAACGTTGAAAAAAATGGTGCATCTTTCTTTAAGCCTTCCCAGTAACTTCCTGCTTTCTTTTTCCCTGTGGGCTTTTAAATGAAGCTGCAAGATTTTATCTGTCAATCTACCCTTTCTACCCTTATCCTACTGAAAGGATGCCCTCTTCCCTTGCTTTTGGTCTAGGGCCTGGTTGGAGCTAACTAGTCTTGGCTGAGTCTGGGCAAGACCTCTTTCCATTGCATGGACAAGCCCCAGAGAACATGCAGAACATTGACTTTTCCTAGTCCTGTGAGCAGCCAGTGAAATCACTAAGTGGGGTGCTTCCATGACATATTTTGTTAATATGGGTTTCACTTTTTTCAAGAATAGTCCCTTGTTGCCACAATGTTGATTTACTTTACACAATGACAGTATGTATTAATTTGTAATTAAACCCAGCCAGATTGTTTTAGCCTTTTCCCAATGGGGTAAGGGAGGGAAGAAAGACATTAAAATAAGTTTTAAGAAGTAAATTTCCCAGCCTCTTGATTTGACTCTAGTTCTCCAGCTTCACACCTGGACCTGACCACCTAGGGTGTAGATGGGAGAATCCTGGCAGCGGGCTGAATCTCGGAGCGTGGGAATGTGTTGATTCATGCAACACCTCTGGTACCTTCAGTGTGCCAAGAACGATGCTTGTTGGTGGGAATACAGCAGTCTACAGGATAGGGAAGGCCCAGCAATCCAGGGGTCAGGGCCCAGGAGGAAAGGAATTGGCTCTCAAGAGTTTGAGATGGACAGCTTTAGATGGAGACTCACCAGGAAGAGCTGTATGTCCCTACTTCTGTGGCAGACCTGGACATGTCAGCTGTCTAAAAAAGGTCTATTTCCTTCCCTCCCTTCATCATTCTAATTGCCCGAGCCATCTGCCTCATTTCTTAAGGCAGAATCACAGAAAGTTTAGGAGCCTAGGCTTTAAAATTAGGTTTGGGTTCAGATCCCACCTCTGCAAGCTTCAGAGAGATCTTGCATTGCAGGAGTAAGGGGTAGAGGTAAGATATGGAAAGCGCCTGGCTTGACGAGGGGAATCAAAAATGTGGTTAAAAAAAGATCATAAGATCCAGTAGTGGAATCCCAAATTCACTAGTGGGAGGCTCAGAGCCTTCTACTCACCACATGCAGACCTTGAAAGAGGCTGTTCCTTTGGCTCGAGTTTCAGTGTCAACCTCTGTCTTACAAGGTCCGCAATCTCCTTTTCCCCTGCCTCCAAGACTGCTTCTGGCTGAGCCTGGGGGGAGCATCTCTACCCACGAAAGTGGCCAGCAGTGTCAGCCTCACCTGGGAGCTTACAGAAATGCACACTCTCAGGTCCCACCCATTCCCACTGAGTCCAAAACAGAGGGAGAGGGACCTAAGGGTGTTTCCTCCTCTAGGTGTGGCTGTGAGAACACAGCTGTAGGCTGCCTTGACTCCCGGGCAGGATGAAAACTGAAGGGTACCAGTCTTGCAATAAGCTTTCTGCCAGCCAGCCGCTGCAATAAATGTGGGGTCATTGTAGAGGGTGGCTGTCAGGCCTCTTCTGAACTCACCCACGTGGAAGACAGGACTACTATTTTCTACAGTGAGAAAAAACTCCAAGGCTGTTGGCTCTTCTAGGACTGATGTCATACATATGCTACCTTTATGGGGAGCACCTGGAGGGCCCTACAACATAGCCCTTGCACAAGTACCTAACAATCCACTCAAGAAACATTCACTCCTTCGGGCAAAGCCTCACGCTTGGCCTTCTCTTAAAACATAAAACAACTATAACATTTTCCTTTTACCTGAGGGGTCCAGGTCTGCAAGAACAGCTGGCCAAGAACTGGGTCTGCTTATGAATCCACCCTGGCCCACTGGATGGTGGTGAGGGGACCTGGGGCTGGACTGCAGCTCTTTGGAGGGGTCGGGGAGAGGAGGTCACTGGGAGAGGAGGAGGAGGGTTAAAGGGGCGGGGAGTGGCCAGGGACTCTGGCTGCTGTTGAGTTCTGTGGTTGGGTGGGGGGAACGTGCCAGAGGCTGGGAAAACAGGCAGGCCTGGGAGCAGGTCTGGGACCTGGTGGGGCAGGGAATACAAGAAGGCTATTGTGCTGAGGGAGCGCAGCAGGGGTGTGAGACAGGCTGGAGTCAGCAAGGGGTTGTGTGTGTACATGTGTGAGGCGCTGGCCCAGAGACCCCGTGGTGAGGAGGTCAGAGAGCAGCTGGCTGACTGACTCCTGGGTGTGGAGGGAAGTGCCCAGCTAGAGAGCTGTGCTGTCTTCAGCCTTACAAGCAACCTGCGGCGGCGGTGGCGGCGGCGGCGGCGGCAGCGGCCTTCCCCTGTGCTATCCAAGCCTTTTCACCCTGAAATCTGCTTGGAGAGGGAGCAGAGATCAATAGCAGAGAGAAGGGGCTCTAGCCCTTGCGCTTTGCAAAGAAGTTTCTCGGCTGTGTTGCTTCACAACCTAGGCATATGCAAGGTAGGAGCAACTTGATTTTTTTTTTCTTTTCATTTTTCGTTTTTTCTTTTTTTTTGGAGGTGGGCTCTTACTATGTTGCTTAAGCTGATCTTGAACTCCTAGACTTAAGCAATCCTTCCACCTCAGCCTTCTGAGTTGCTAGGATTATAGGCATGTGCCACTACACCCAGCCGCGCTCTGATTTTACATGTGAAAACTTAGGCCTAGAGAGAAAGGTGTGGTACCAGCAGTGGGTGGAGCAGGAGTGACTGGGGAGGAAGGGACCGAAGGCCTGGACGCTGGGTGAGGTGGAGTCTATGAGTGCCATCTTGTGGCAGAGGCTGCTGTGGGTAAGGGCTGCACTTGGGCTCCCCTCCCCCAGACTCCCTTCGCTTTGTCCCTCCCCTCCCTCCTGGCCTATGGCCCTCAGAAGAAGTCTAATTGGAGACCCAGCCAGTATGGGCTGCTGCCCATACTCTGCAGTCCTAGGCTGGAAGTGAACTTAGATGGGAAAATGGAGGTGTGGCTTTGCAGAATATCTGTACTGCTGGTTCCCTAAGGCCTCTCTCTGCTCCTGTCACGATCATAGATCAGGAAGCTATAAGCCTGTCCTGCCCCTAGAAACTGCACTGTCTGCTGCTGAGTGTCCTAATTGGGTGAGTGAGAATGGGACCCTCTGCCTTGGCTTCCTTAAAGTTGCTGAAAGGCGTAGAGGGGTTGCAGGATAAAATAGAGGGTGAGGCTGGTGGTCACCTGCGCATCACAGTGGCCCCAGGAGAGATGTCCAGAGGACATAGATGTCCCCCTAGCGTGGGCCTTGGCCTGTCATAGTGTCAGGCCTGAGCCCTTCAGCCTGGCTCACATGCCCTAAGAGCAGGCCATGCCTCTGGGCACCACGTCCAGGAAGGCCGTGCTTCTTTGCATCTGTGACCCTCTCAACCC